AGACGTACGTTTGCTCAGCGACTGCGCCAAATTTGAATCGAAATAAAGTCACAACACGTCACTGCGGTCCTTTGGAAGCAAAGTTGCAAGAGTTTTTACTTCAGTCAGGAGGCCAAAAGATTGAAAATTCATCGCAAACTAATGACTTCGATTTTGAAAACCTTTCATCACTTCAATCGTTCGTCGGCTGATAATGAAAATAAATGACCTTTGGCGTGTGACCGGAAATCGGTCACACGCTTAAAACGTTAAGCATACTGTCACAAATTTTAATACGATTTTTTCACGTTTGCTTTCGACAAAAAAATAGACTCATCGAAATAAAAATCAGGCCTGCTTTATTTGTTTGTTTTAAATTTCTTTTATAGCCTGCAGAACTTGTTCCCCATGCATCGCGCGTGTCTCGCACCCCCAGTCCGCTTCGCAGTGCTAACATGAAAAGCGCAAAAAACTGAAATTGACTCCTGTTCTGCAGTTGATTTCTTTTATAGACACCTTCTAGGCATTGACAGGCTGTGAAAAAAGTGTATTTTTTTTATTATTATTTTTTGAAGTGCTACATCATTTTCCTATAAATTTCAAACGTGACTGCTAAAAGACTGTTTGGAACCCATGGATGGAGAAAAGCTGTGCCGGAGAGAAGGTCAACCTCCCAGCCGAGCCAAGCTGACCACTTTGTCCGAGTCAACAGTGCTTGCGCATGCTGTCTTTGTCTAGCCTTGACCAAAGTGAAGAAATATTAGCCGGGCTAGAAGGGTGAGGCCACCACTACCGGCTCAGTGGAGGGCTGACTTCCGGAAGCCCTCAACCCCGCCCACTACTGGTAGTAAGGCGTCTATCCGAACCAACCTTTTGTTTCTCATGTAAATGGTTTACCAAGTTTTGTAAGGAAATGGAGGAAAAGTTGGCTCACCCAGGGTAGCTTGGGAGGTGAGTAAACACCAGATAACCCCAATAATAAGCACAAACTTTGATTGTCAGTTAGATGTCCACTATTTTAAGTAAGCGACCTGGCATGTGATTGTCGCATCCATGCCCCTTCCAGATCCCCTTTATTATCGGTAAGCCTCTGATAGGTCAAAGTAATACAGTCGTACCTCCAGTAAGCGACCACCAAAAATGCAAAGACTTAATGGTCTCTAACGGGAGGTGGCCGTTTAGAAGAATCGGACCACATGGGGTCTATTCCGAGAAGAGGTCCGGGCACATTCTATTAAATGGCGGTGTAACAAATTCCTGGCAAAATATTATCTTTTACCTCTTTTGAAAAATACAGCTTTTAAATCATGCTCAATTTAAAGAGGGATTCAGGTGAGTGAGATATAGAATAGTCTAGAATCACAACAGAATCTTCACTTTGTTGGCTACATCTACTAAGTTAGGATATGTGTAGTTCCACGATGTCACTAAAGGTTCTCATATTTTCCAAGGAACATAGTGCACACAGCAAAAATAGAGAGCAGAGAATGCGTCAACTGGTCGCTTATGGAAAACAATTAACCCAAAAAGTGGTCGCAGTCACTTACAGAAGGTCGTTTACTGGAGGTTAATCCAAATATAAGGCTTTGAATGGGAAAATTTGGTCTTTTGGATTGGCGGTCGCACATGGAGGTTCGACTGTGTTAGGTCTATTAGAGTATGAGCCACCATCACCTCACTGTGAGTGACGAGAGCCAGGAACGTATAGTATACACTCCCTTAGGATGCACAGAATCGTTGCTTTGAGGTCCCGTTTAGCGAAATGGATCATTCAAGGCAGGTGCTGAAGTCCCATAGTGAAATTTATAAGGTTTATGGGTTTTTAGTGCAAGGCGAAACACAATACTTAGGGCCCTGTTGTTCAAACGTTGAACAACAGGAAATCACTATCAAGCGAATAAGATGAAGCAATTGCGTTACTTATTGGATATAGATTTATCCAGGGGAAAGCGTTAGTTCCGGGGGCGTTAGTCAACTTTTCGAACATACTGCCCCTAAGTCACTCTCCTCCGAAGACTTACCCTGGGCGACCTGGATAGGGGAATATAATACTCGACCTTCCTTGCATCATCGCGAGAGCCTATAGCCTTCACTTTCTTTTGGCTCGTCCTATAATCCTACCCAACGTTCGTGGGACAGGAAAGTCTGCGTGCGAGGCTTGGGAATCTAGGGAGACTATGCTAGCATGGTGCAAATAGCCGGGATGAGCTACTTTGTCCACACGAACCAAGAGGATTGTGTCTGCTAGAAGAAATCAGATGTAGCTTTCTGTCATAAGTAATATTCCAACATTATAGGATCATAGTTTGAAGCCATTTCACAATCACTAGTTTCCGCGCACCTCTACCGGCGAGTTGTGGACAAAAGCAGCTGATAGCTGTATACGAATGGTTTCTGGGTTTTCGTATTCGACAGTGTCATGTCTTGATTTTTTTTTAATCTTAATCGAGGTCTTTTTTATTATGTACTGTCTATCTGACTGACTGTTTCTTTGTGTTTTTTTTTTCTGGTAATAACAGGTTTCATAATTTGGTCGCGGTTGGGGGAGGCTCCTGATCGTGAGCAAATAGCGAAAACCAAAGTAAACTATAGCGTTGAATCCGTTGGCCACGGAGAATTGGTATTATTCTGCAAGTTCTTTACTACAGCAAGAGAGTATACTCCCTTGACTATGGGACATTGGGCCGGGGGAACTTAGTATTTTGACCCGGCATAGGGGAGGAGGGGAGGGGGAGGGGGTACCCTGGCCAGATTCCAAGTCACGGGGATGATCGAAGTATGTTTTTGTCTTGTTTTGAAAATATTTTGAACAAATTTTTTTTTTAGCTGTGGCTTTACTTAAGTATTCAAAATATTCGTTCTTTTTTTTGGTCTTGATTTTCGCTTCCACGGGTCACTCACGACACTTGGAATCCGAGGTACCCTCCTGTTTGGTACTTCGAAGGCAAAAAGCTGTTTCAAAGCCTAGTAGGTAAATAAAAGAAAAATAAATATGCATGGCTGTTTCTACTGCGATGAGGGGAATTCTTGTCAAAAAATGTGAAAACTGTATTAAAATTGCTGACAACAGCTACGAAAATTTCGTGACAGCATGCTGACGTGACTAAAGCGTGTGACCAATTTCCGGTCACACGCCAAAGGTCATACGATCTTGTGCGATGTTTATTATCAGCCGACTAACGATTGAAGTGATGAAAGGTTTTCAAAATCGAAGTCATTAGTTTGCGATGAATTTTTATTCCTTTTGCCTCCTGACTGAAGTAAAAACTCTTGTAACTCTTGCTTCGACGTGTTGGGACTTTCGATTCACGGCCGGATTCGGACGCAGTTGCTGAGCAAACGTACGTTTGTCTTTTGGCTAAAAATTATTTATTTTGTGACTCAAAACGACGCAAAAGAAGTTGGAAATAACTTTCCTTGCCGTAAAAACGTGTTACAAGCAATGGTGAGTAATCCTTTCATGTAAAACCTTTCTTTTTAGTTTGACAACCGTCCGCAAGCCGTCTAATTTGCATAAATTTCCCAATTCAATTGCTCTCACCGCTTGCTTTGGTGTCAGGATGATATTTGATTTCCAGAGCTAAAACTTTCCGGTAAGTTAGTACAAAAGCCAAGGTTCCATTTTATATTGATTTTATGATCAAGCGGCATATACCAGAGGCCTTTTTTAATAGTCAAAGTTGGCCTTCATTTTCTAGCACGTCTAACGTCACAAATATGACCTCTTTACACTTGTCGATTATAAAAATGTAAAGCATTGTTTATCAAATTTTCTTTTAAGGTTTTCAAGAGTAAGAACAAAATAATAATTCGGTGAAGTTTCAATGTCAGGGAATGTTTCTTACGCGTTCACCCTTCTCTCGAAGTTGCCATTGCATCCTGCCGTGTTTTGTTCGAAAAACAGGAATAAAATCGATTTTTCAAACTTTTTTGAATTTCTCCTTTAAAATGAATCGTTTGAACCCAAAACTATTTTTCCTTAAATAAGGTCACTAAAAGGGATGTTTTGACAAAATAAAAAAAAATTCGATTTTTTGACGAGTGTCGTGCGATTCTCGATTTTCTCAGATAATGGCTCTTAACACCTCATATCTATATTTTCCTCTAAACACACTTATATACTTAAATAAACGACTTTTTCTTTATTTCTTAAAATGCCGCCTAGTATTTAAATTGCCCGTGGGGGGAAATCTCTATTCCTCATAAGCTCGGCTTCTCGGAGATTTCCCCGCCACAGTCACTCCTCCCAAGTAATGCACAAATTTTAAATTTAATGTTAGTTAACCTATTTATTATCGTTTTTATTCTGCTTGTAATTCATTGTGTGTCAAAATAATAAAATAAATAAAATAAAAATAAACAAGTCCGAGATTGGTTTAGTCAGCAAGATGTTTATACTCTTCACAAACCCGCACGAAGACGCTACAAGAGAAGTCGAGTCATCGTTTTTGGAATAGATGAGCAATTTCAAGCGGATTTGGTCGACCTCCAAAATCTCAGTCGCTACAACAAGGGCTATAAATACATACTGACTTGTATAGATATCTTCAGCAAGTACGCGTTTGTGTTACCCGTTGAAGACAAAACAAGGTCAGGAACTGGTCAAAGCCTTTCAAAAGATCCTTTCTACTGGTCGCAAACCCATCAAACTGCAAACAGATCAAGGAACCGAGTTCAAGAATCTCGTGTTCCAGAAATTTCTGCGTGACAACAACATTGCCTTTTTTACTGTTAACTCTGGGCTCAAAGCCTCAGTGGTTGAGCGTTTTAACCGAACATTTAAGAATAAGATGTACAAATATTTCACGGCCAAAAACACTCTCACCTATATCAATATATTACCCCAGTTAGTGTCTTCTTACAATAACACTTACCACCGAAGTATTAAAATGAAACCGAGTCAGGTGACTAAAGCGAATGAAGCTAAATTGTGGGATACTTTGTATGGGGATGATTTTCAAAAGCCTGTGCGATATAAATTTCAAGAGGGAGATCGCGTCAGGATTAGCAAAGTGAAGAGAATGTTTGAAAAATCTTACTTACCGAATTTTACGGAAGAAATTTTTACTGTTTACAAGCGAATGGCTCGTCAAGTACCCGTTTATAAACTAAAAGATGATGCAGGTGAAATCTTAGATGGAACATTTTATGAACCCGAATTACAGAAAATTATTAAGAACGATGATGTGTACCGCGTCGAGAAGATTTTGCGGAAGAGAAAGCGTAAAGGCGTAGTAGACTATATGGTGAGATGGAAAGGATACAAAGATCCAAAATTTGATTCTTGGGTTCAAGAAAGAGATATTTTGAAATTGTAATTTATGCATTTTTTGTGTAGTGAATAAAAGAAAATGAAATAATAAAATGAATGGTGTGTGGTTTCTAATAAATTAAGAATACCCAGATTAAAAAGTTCATTTCAACACAGGGTACGATGGAGGTAAAACAGTTTTATCTGCATCTCCCTAGCAATAGCAGCCTCGATAAGTTTCCCAGAAACACATTAACTGAGTACCAAGTTGGTTTACCTCAGACCGTTAGCTTGACGGGGGACTGGGAAGTAGCGTTAACGGAAATTCACTATCCTCACAGCTGGAATAATGTCCAAATTAATTGTAATCGATTCTACCTTCGGAACCAAGAATTGTCCGGAGTATGGGAAGCCCTAATTGTACCACCAGGTCATTATTCTTCCATTGGGGATATCTTATGAAAGATGAAAGAGCTGATCGAGAATGTAAAGCGTTTCAATGACGACGTGACATTTTCCTACGATGCGTTCACTAGAAAGGTGACTATTCACCTACAAAATAACGTAGAACTTTTCTTTGGTAACATTGGATACCTGCTGGGATTTTCACCAGACGAAATTATTTCTAATACCTCTACCGCTGAAAGACAAGTGGATTTGGAATACGGCTTTCACGACCTTTTCATTTACTGTGATCTTATTCAGTCACAATATGTTGGAGATGCATTGGTACCTTTGCTTCGAATTGTTCCTGTAGAAGGAAAGGTTGGGAAGCGAGTCAGTACCATTTGAGTTTGGGAAAGTGTTGTTAACACTTCATTTTCGTCAAAGTGCACCTCAGTACTTTTAAAGATGAAGAAACTCCACACTCCAAATCACAAGTTGTACGAACAGTACTATGTTAATCAAGCCAAACAAACAGGTGGGAGTTTACCAGCGTTTCACGGTGCTCGATTTCAGCATGGTTATGGACTAGGGTCCATATTCAGAGGTCTGTTTCGCTGGGCGATGCCTCACCTTCAACAGGGTGCTAAGGTGATTGGAAAAAAGGCTTTACAAACAGGTGTCAATGTCGTCCAAGATGTTCTTGATGGAGATAACATTAAAACAGCAGTCCCGAAGCGCACGAAACAAGCCCTCGGCCTACCTTCTCAGCATTCATTGCAGACACAATCAGGAGCTGGCAAAATAGGTATAAAAAGAAAAGGGCAAGGAACCAAAATCAGTTCGCCTCAAGGCAAGAAAGCAAAAACATCTCCGCAGCAAAAGAAGCCTAAAGAGAAATTTTCTTTCTGGAAGTAACTATGGCCTTTGTGCATCACGAGTCTCAGGAATGTACGAAATCAGAGTTGGATGTCTTTACGATTCCTGCAACACAAACCTCTATCTCCAAAGGACAATGGATCGAGTACCACCCCATCAGTTACATCACGGACAGTGGTCTGATCGAATTTTATGTTTCGAGAACCGGAGATGAGTATTTGGTATTTGGCAAGTACTCAGTTATTTGTTAAAGCCAAGATCACAAAAGCAAATGGAACCGCCATAGACGCCGATACACAAGTAGGTCCCGTGAACCTGTTTTTACATTCCCTGTTTTCCCAAGTGGACGTTTCCTTAAACGAGCGATTGATCTCTCCATCCACCAATACCTACCCTTATCGCGCCATGATCGAAACCTTGCTAAACTACGGAGAAGAAGCAAAAACAAGTCAACTTTCTATGGCCATGTTTTACAAAGATACCCCTGGAAAAATGGATGTTGCCAACCCTGTGGCTGCAGACGATGCTGCAAACAAGGGGTTAAAGGTTCGCTATGATTTCACTAAAGAAAGTCATATTGTGGATATGATGGGGCCCATTCATAGCGACATTTTCTTTCAAGACCGGTTGATGCTAAATGGAGTGAATTTAAGAATCAAACTGAACCGAGCCAAGAACTCGTTTTGTCTAATGTCATCAGCAGCCGCTCCAACTTTCAAGATGGTAATCATAGAAGCAATCTTGTTCGTTCGCCGGGTGAAATTGGCCTCCTCTATTATACTTGGCCATGCGGCTGCACTAAAACACTCTAGCGCCAAGTACCCGGTTCGCCGAATCGATTGTAAAGTGCTGTCTATTCCAAGAGGATTTAGCAGTTTTAACCCCGACAACATCTTTTTGGGTCACATTCCTAAACGAATCGTGCTGGTCTTAGTGAATACTCAGGCATATAATGGAACTTACAGTACCAACCCGTTCAACTTCAAACACCACAATCTAACTCAAGTGGGTGTCTATGTGGACGGAGAGCAAATTCCTCGGAAACCCCTCTTCTTGAATTTTGACGAAGCTAGAGGTCAAAATGTAATAGCGGGCTATCAAAGCCTGTTCTCAGGCACTGGAAAGCTATCCCAAGATGCGGTTAATCAAATCAGTAGAAGCGATTATGGCTCTGGTTACACAACATTCTGCTTTGACTTGTCCCCAGACCACTGCTCAGGTGACCATTTTGAGCTAATAAAGCAAGGTAACCTGCGCGCTGAGCTTCATTTCAAGGAACCACTGGCCAATACGGTTAACCTGATCGTGTACGCTGAATTCCAAAACGTGATTGAAATTGACGAGAACCGCAACGTGTTGTTCGACTACACAAACTTAAAATGGACACTATTCAACTGACCCTTATTTTGAGAAAGGATAAATTTACACGAGGTTTGTTTCAAGGCGTGTATCCCTCAGACCAGCTGCCTGCAAGTGTTTCACATTACCCAGCCCTGTTTATCGCCAATGTGGATACGAGTGACAAGCCAGGTTCGCATTGGGTGGCGTTTTATTTCACCAAGGAGCAAAAGGGAGAATTTTTCGATTCTTACGGATCACCATCCAGCAAATATTCAGGAACATTTACTGCCTTTTTAAACAACAATTCTAACCAGTGGACTTTTAATACTGTGACATTACAAAGCATCTATTCAAAAGTCTGCGGACATTACTGATTGTATTTTGCTTTATATCGTAGTCGGCATATAAGTATGAGTGCTATTGTCCAGTGCTATTGTGATAGTCTCGTAAAACGATTTATTGAAAAACATTTCCCTATAGGTTTACCGAAATATCGTACTCATGTAAACAAGCAAAGAGCGAAAGCACAACACTAAGTTCAGTAAACAGACACCATGTAATTTCTTTTCAACACATTTTATTGAATTACAAAATAAAGTTTTGTGTTTCACAATAAAAAAAAGTCTCTTGTCATGATTTATAATCGTAACCATCGAACAGCCTGAGGGCGAGGACTCTCGACTCTGCGCCTCTGCTTTTTGACAGAAGATAACGTCACAGGTGGGGTGGCTAGCCAACGCGAAGGACTTTCTGGGGTCTCCTCTCTCACTCTTGCTTTTAACTCTCTTATGGCACTCTGACGTTGGGGATTACGAACCAAGTTTTCGGGGACATTCATTCGCGCCAGGCCCCTCGCAAACACGGACCATCCCACTGGTTCAAATCCTTTTCGGTGACGCAATGTGTCGTTGACTAGGTCGACCACATGAGAACCTGGGATTGGTTTGTTTTCATACAACAGCTCTCCTTTATCATTCCAGTGCAACACATCCTGGTGTTTTATAATTTTATCCAACAACTGTCTAGCCCCAGCTTTGTAAATTTTGGGTACACTTTTCATGACCTCTTCCTCTACTGCTGTTGGAAGAGAATTATCTGGAGAAGCTTCCTCTGTAGATTCTGCGTTCTCAGCTGGTTTGGGGGTTTCTGTTGTTTTAGGGGTCGTTAACTTCACATGGAGAGGCTGGCCTTTCCGCTGATCGTAATAAGTCAAGTACCGTTGCAACACCTGATTGTAAAGCTTCGCCTTTTCCTCATCACCAAGTTGTTTACTTTCTAAAATATCCCCCATTTGGCTATCCAGATTTTCAGAGTTTGCGTTACAGGTGGTGTTAATATCTGCTGGCGTTGCTGCAATCGTTCCAGAGTGTTTTCAGGAACGAGAACCATGCGTCTTGTATGATTCATCTTAACTAAGAAGCGAGCTCAACACTCGAAGAACGGGAGGTAGCAAAACACTTAAAAAGTTTCCTCCGTGTTGTATCAAGATTTGCTTTTTCTTGTTTAGCGGGGTAGCCTTTTCAGCTAGAGCAGTCAAGGCTTTCTTGTGCTTAAGAAATTTTCTCTTTGCCGGTTTACTGACAGGGACTGTTTCTTTAAGTACGTTGAACATACACGCACAAATGGTTTTTACTAAAGCGTCGTCGGCTGCTTTCAAAATTGCTTTACGTTGAGCTGGGGTACACTTGACGAGGAGCTTAAGAAAATCGTGGTTCTTTCTTAGTCGCTGGGCCATACTCAACTGATATCAATCACTACGACGGAGCTTTTTTATACCTTTCTGATATAGGCGAGCTGAGTCTCCCCAGGGAAAATGTTTGTGCGCAACCGGAAGTCGGTAGGTGTTTCCGGTTTGAGGTCGCATAACAGGTAGCCATATGGGCGTTTTGTCGCATCCTCAAACGCTTCTTGCATGTATTTGACATGACCGGGAAACATCTGTTTCGCCAAGTGACTGACTTGACTGCTATCTCGCGGAGACTTGAACATCACCAAATAATGGCAATTCAAACTCATGTCTCTCAGTTCTTTTCCCCGGTGAAAAATATTTTGAAGAATGAAAATAACGCTTAAATTTCGGCGATGACAGCCCTTAGTAAACAAATTGGTAATTCTTTGATCATTGCTAAATCGCCAATGACCACTAAATTCCGAATGGTTGGGTTTATCATAGATTCTAAATCACCAGGAACTCCTTCGACGAACGTGATGTTGCATTGGGAATAGTCCTTAGCATTTCATCGTAAGCCGGTTGGTATATTCCATAACACCAAATGATATTTTCAGGAGCTCCGTCTATTAATTCTTCTCCAGATTCCAACAGGCGTTTGACAAAATGACTTTTTCCACAGCAAGTGGGGCAAGCTACAATAGCAGGAAAGGGGTGTTTCCACCTTGGGTCCATGTTGACAACTGACTGGTTCAACTACGTTTGCTCTTATTTATAGCGAAATGGTCTTTGGCGGAGTATCTTTATCATAAACTCGAACCATGTTGGTATTTTGTAATTTAGCAAACTGGAGCCAATATTTTCTCTCTAAGTCAGACAGCTCGAGTACCTGAGCCAAATGGTTTGCTAATCGAACTAAAAATTTAGAGTGACATCCCGGTATCGGGCAATGACGACATACACGCTTACCCATGATGTTCACGGTACGAAGGTTCGATATCAACAGAATAAAACCGCTAATGACACGAAGTTTATGACTATTGACAACGGGCCACAAGGGCCACAGGAGCCACAAGGGCCTTGTATATCACTGTGTTTTTCCTTTACGCGGGTGATTGAATCGCGCGTGGCGCACACACGCGCGCGTGGCTAGACAGACAACAAACCGTGTTTAGTATATTAAACCATATTTATTTACAAACTATGAACCAATGACATTTTTTTACACATAAAGGAAAACTCTTCATATACAATGCGATACAGAGAAAAGTCGACCCGAAGCAAAGACAGAGACAAACACACACCGACTCAAAATTTTAGTCATCATGAAGAAATTTTATTACTTTTAGAAACAAAGCTTATTTTGAATGTCATTAATTATCATGTCAAGGTCCATTGGTGTTCTTCTTTTCTCACGACTCTATCAGGGCATTCTATTGTTTCTTGTTGATCACTGAAATCCTTCCATTTGAGCCCATTTGGTCGGTAGTATAGAGCGAATAAAAATACGGCTTTGAAGATCATCACCCTGCTGGACAACATCAAGTTCCAGAGAAGCGAGGTAAATACTGGTCCACGACAATATTTGGCAGTACGCTTCCCATGATTTATCTAGTTTGAAGCCGAGAGCACTGCATATACTTTCGGTAGCGTTCAACATAGAATTCAGATCAATTTGTTCCACCACTTCATCGTGGTAATACTTCCATGCGTCATCGTTATCCACCATGAGGCAAGAATGTTGGTTTTGACTTGGGTGTTGAATAGCACAACCGTCGCAGTGATTCAGCTTTTCGTGTTGGATGAGTTTGTCAACCAAAGCCGCATAAGTCAGTTAGAATACATGTCCAATAAAACTGGCTATCCTTTGACGCTGGACAATGTTTCAAAGAATATTGGTGAGAGTTAAGACTTTTTTCCGAGCAAACTGAACTTTTAAGAATGAAATCATGATTGAACGGAGAGCGCGTTTGTATGTTGAACACATAATAGATTGTTCACTATCCAATCAGGGTTAAAAGAGCCCTCTTTTTCTGAATCGTCTTGTAGTTTTTGCGACAGGTATTTCATAGGTTTGTCGATAGACAGAGAATTACAATTTCGCAAAGAAATACAACATGTTCTAGATGATTGTGAAACAACATTCCTTGACTTTTTTCGAAGTGGGAACTCAATGTCTTAATCGCTTATTTTAAAAAAAAAAGACAAAAGCTAAACGGCTAATTCTTAATTGCATTTTTTTTACAATACCTGGTCTTAAGTTGAAGATTTTTGCATAATCAACCCGCGGCGTGTTTGTCCAAAGACAACTATGGCTGAGAAATAATTCTCTTATGGTGGTCCGTTTTCCAACAAACTACAGCTACAACGGATTGCATTTCAAAAAGTATGGTGTGAGGAAATGACGGAGAAGCAGATTATGAAACCCACGTTGATCAGCAGAACTGCCATTATTACGCAATATCTACGATTATCCTGATGCCTTATTGGAAATGAACAATTTGTTCAAGCGAAGATTACAACAAAATATTTTAATTGTATCATCTGAAAAAGGACCTACCTACGAACCAAGATCTAAGTTACAGAGACAATTTGGTAGTTAAGTGATGATGCAACCATTAGCCAAATCAGTTATCCTTTTGGATACCGAGTGTTGACAGAGTGCGACGCACAAAATGTAGATATTTTATTAGATTTGTAAATAAGAAGAAATACCGTTCCCGACAGGATTCGAACCTGTAAGCCTCGAGTCCCACCTGGCTGGCTGGACTCATCGGCCGAAAGCGAGAACTTCTTGCCAGTACCGGCGATGGCCACCGAACCATCGCTTTCCCGGCCATTTTTTTGATGACTTTTCAAACTTTTTAAAACGAAATGGGCGTGACGTCAATAGGAGGTCACACACGTTCCGATTGTAACGCTAGGTACGACGTCAGAATAAAATTGGTTGAAACGTGACTTTTCGTTGGGAGACTTTTCGTGATGGTTTTACATGTAGTCCTAACCCCCATGAAATCCTGAACGCTGATTGGTCGAGAGTGAACTAATTCAGTCACGTGTTTGAAATACTCGATTCTGATTGGCTGTGTGATGAAGTAACCAGTATTACTACTAATACATTGTCGAGGCGAAGATATGACATTCTTTCCTCCTCGTCGTTTTTTCTTCACGACATTTGTTTATATTTGTAGTGAGAATGCAGTGCATATCGGTGGATTTCACTTCGTGCGGCTTGCTATTTATAAGAGAAGAGTGCCGGATTTCATCGCTTTGTTCGCCTTTAATTTCAATTTGTTTGTTTGTTTCCTGGCGAAAAACAGTGCATAGAACTCGTGAAACCCATGAGTATTACCTCTGTTATACCTATTGTTATGCGATAACTCCTCGC